ACTAAAGATTCAAAAAGTTTGCACAGACTTGGAGTTAAGGAGATGGGTCTAACACATCTATTATTAGGTTTATCAATAAATAAGACAAAAGACTTTTTCCATGATTCGGGATAACAACTTGTTGAATAGATTTCATTGAAAGTATCAAGGAGCAGCAGCTTGTATTTGATTGGGAGTTTTTTTATTGTTTCATAATCAATGCCATCAATTCCCGCTGCTGAATTATTTTTGTTTTAATCTAAAACTGTATTGAGCTCAGCAAAATCAAAAGATTGATCAAAAAACAGATTATTGATGTCTGAACAAATGGGGAGATAATCAGGCTCCGTCTCACACCATGGAGGGCATATCCTATTAATAGTATTTTCTATATTTGGGTTTGATTTTGACGATTACTATTGACGTTGGTAGGTTGAACTTTAGTCCATTTGTCTTTAAAAATTTTGCTTTTGTTCCAGACAAACTTAGAGCTAATGTTGAAATTTATAGTTCCTGCAAACTTTTTGAAACACTCTTTTTTCTTTGTTCTGTAAGTTCTTACCGCTATACAATTAATTCTATTGTAATTTATACGATCTACCATCATTTTGCTGAAATTCCATTTTTTATAAGCAGCCTTCCGCAGTCTTTTCACTTTGTTACACTCCTCGTCCCACCATGGAACAGGATTTTTATATTCGGAAGGGATAGCTATTCTTTTTTTAGGCGTGCTGTCAATCAAACTATTTTTAACAGTATCAATGAAGGACTCATACTTGGCATTGGGTTCAGAGTTAACAAATTCGCCTGATCTTACCATATAAAAGGTGTTATAACTTTGTTTACTTGATTAAACAGTCTTAAATTATTCCGAATTTCGACGTCTGATGGTCAGCCGACTGAAGTTACCCGAAGGCAGAACCCCGATGGATCTACAAAATTACGAAAGAGGAACAATCATTTAATCGCGGTGCTAATACATATTTGTTGTTGAGGGAGATCCACAAAAAGACTAGCGTCCGTGATATTCATGTATTTGAAGTGCATATATTCCGTACTAAAAAATATACCGAATTTCGACGACGGAAGAAATTAAATTCTGAGATTATATTCCGCATCTAAGGAAGGGTCGGAATAACTTTCTGATCTAGGCCTAAAAGTTTAAAAATAAAGCTTTGAATTTACACGACGTTTTTCTGAACGACGTGGCGCATTCCGAAAAGACAACATACCTACGGCAGTTAGGATTTGTGAGCGTACAATACATATTACTGTGGATGCTTGAGGTTGAATTTAGTACGCGGTTGTAAATTTGTAAATGATTCTCTTATTTTCATTAAACATTCGCGTTCGGTACTCGGCTGTATGATGATTGGTTTTTTACAATATGAGCATCAACCTGACGAATAGAAGTTCAGTTTTTATCCTGGTGGGATAACGTGAACTTTGCGAATTAGGCCCTTGCGTTTTGTTATCAATTGTGGCTGAAATGAGAAATTCTCACAGTTTTTGCATTTAAGACAAGTAATCCCTTTCTCATCCTCCTGACCAAAATTTTGTGATTTATGACAGCTATGAGGTAAATTACGCTCTACTTCTACAATAGCCTCAACAGCGGCATAAGCGTCCAGCTTTAATAATTAATTTAATTGGATCCCTCAAGCCCTTCTGAAAAGCTTTGAAAGCAAATTTTGAATTTAACTTTTGTATTACGGGTGCTGACTCAACTCCTTCGCTTTCAATACAAGCGTTATTTAAATCTAAACAACATTTTACACGCAATTTGCAAACGACTTAAAATCCTCTTTATAATTTTTACCACAAGCTAACAATTCCGTTTGAATTTGTTCTATTGTTATTTTTGATGACAAATGATCGATATTACGATGTATTTTTGAAAATAAATCGAACGTAATGAACTCGCCTTTCTACACCTTTTCCACTTTTATTCGAGAAGTTGTAAATTGTATTTGAGAATTGTTACTTGTACTTGAGAAAACATCAAAGTAGATAAGAATAGTCAGTTGGATTTGAGAAAACAACAAATGTAGTTGAGAATAGTCAATTGTATTTGAGAAAGTATCATTTAATTTTAAGAAGTCGTTAATTGTATTTCAGAATTCAGAATGTAATATTAAGAATCAAATTTTTATAATCCCGCTACTGTATGTAGTCCCGCAACAGCAGCAGCAGAATATTATTAATTATTAATTGAATTAAATTTATTTTATTTTTTTAAGTTAATTGTTAACTGAATTAATTAAATTTGCGTTCATAAACTGTTAATCGTTAATTCAAGTAATAATTTTCCCCAATTAGTCACGCCATCTCGTTTGCATGACAGATCTATTCGTTACGATCCCACTAGTTTTGCATTAGTAACGTAAGATGAAGGTCTTCCTTCCACTAGATAACTATTGACTATACTGTATTCATTTTCAGAAGGTAGCGGTAGAAAGCATAGGGAAATTTTGACTTTCACTGTGATTGGTTAAAACACGAGTCAGTATTACAATGAAACATAAAAAGAGTGGTGAATTTTGTAAGCTGGTAGTTTATGTTGCCAACTAAACTGCCGAAGTGTCATTAGTTGTTATTGTGAAAGGTTTATTTTTGTTCGCAGTACTGAATATTTCTACTTTACAATAATTTGGTGCCGTTTTATATTTTTCCTGTGTGTGTTTATCTTCAAACACAGCGCCATCTACTACCTTCTTATAATGAATGCAGTATAGTTTAGCCCATGGCCTAATAAGGTTTAGCCAGGAATCAGTGACTATAGCCGAAAATGCGTTAATTCGAGAAAATAATTAAGTTTCAAGCGACACATAATATATCTCATTGTACAGCTCGGAAGCGACTGACTCTGCTCTGCTATGGGTCTGATGTGCGAACGGGGACACGCGATCTGACGCGAGCGAGCGGGGACAGAGCGACCCAGGCTTTTCACGTAGGATATACCCTGGGCTATACGCTCCCATGATAGGTATCAAGTTTCCTTACGGTCGTTGTTAGGGTTGTTTACTAGAATAAATCATAGGTCGGTTTTGTTGACAGCTATTCGGTTTAGTAACATGAGATAAAAATCGATACCCCTCCCCCTCTTCGGAAGGGTATACGACTGTGTGCAAGAACGTAATGGTTGTGATTGTGATAATGATACCTGACAAATTTCTAGTCGATCCGTCAATTTCTGTAATCGTGCCAAAAATGGCCAAAATGGATTCCAATAGTATCAAAACCTAGGTGAATGCGGCTCGGTCGATCAGGTGTAGGTAGATTTCTTTAACCGCCCTACCCACTAAAACCCCTCCTCCACCCTCCTCAACCGACATTACGTCTTCCTTCAGGGAGACCTAACTTAAGCTAACATCGTACGCATATCTGGGATCTCCAAGGACTCCTAGACGTGCGGTATCGATGCTATTCGATAGTCCTTGGCGAGATACACGTGTACGGTTCGCCAAGTAGCATGCGGCGTCTCAGAGACGTGCGGACCCGATTCCATAGCACTCCACGTGCGAAAACGACACCCTGTGCGCATGTCTCGGATTTCCGGAACTCCAAGTAGACTTCCGCGCACCCTAAACGTGCGTACTGCGTGTCATTCGATAGAAACCCTTCCTCACCCCCTTCACCAACTCCCCCCACTCTATAACGTTTAGTCATAATCTGTTAAAGTTAGAAAAAGTTACAGCCTTTTAGCATACATATACAAGTGGTCGCAATTTTGTCCCAAAAGGGTGTAAATTCACAAATTTGACGGAGGTATTTATGACTTACAGCAACACATAATGTTTGGCCAAAATCGGCGCATAATTAGGAAAGTTTGTGTTTCTTGGAAGTGGGACATAAATGCAAACAAATTCAATTTAATTCACGTCAATTCAGAATAATTCACACTCATTCAAATTAATTCACGTTAATTCAAATTAATTTACACTAATTCACATTAATTCTCGGTGATTCTAATTAATTCACGTTAATTCAAATTAATTCAGAAGGGTGTACACAAAAAACCTCTTTCGGCTCGGTGTAAGAATGGTGTAAGTAACCACGTTAACATATAAAAGTGTCCGCCATTTTGTTCAAATATGGCAGGATTTGCTAATTCACGAACTTAACCGGGATATTTATGCGTTACACCATTCAATATCGACCTTAATTTTTCACTCAACGGTTACACCAGCCCTTGAAGTTTGGTCGAATTCGGTACAACAGTACGAAAGTTAGAGTGTTTCTTGGAAGGGATATATCATCACCACCATAAAGTAAGGGGTATACTTTAAAGTCTTATATAACTTTAAGAAATTAAGCTAGTAGTAAAAAGTAAATGGAATCCATTTGCTTTAATAATTGGATTTACACACCCACAGACCCACAGACCTACACACCTACAAACGTACATACAAATCTACAAACCTATAATCCTACAAACCTAAAAACCTGCAAACCTACAAACCTACAAACCTACAATCCTACAAACCTACAAACCTATAAACCAATAAATCTATAAATGTACTAGTACCATTACAATATAGGTAGATAGAAATCTACCTAAAATTCAAAGTTGTTTCTCCCTAGCTCAGGACTGTTTTTAAAGATCGCTTTAAATGGAGCGGACGTAAGAACACCAGCAACTACGCTATATCAATGCACTGTAACCGTAGCCGCATTGGACAGTTAATATTTTTGGGGAAGGATTATATTTCGTAGCTACAGCAGGGCAAATTCAGAATACCACAACGTTAAGTGAATTGAAAAATCGACGAACTTGAAAAGTTCTGGCTTTTGGAAAATAACATAATTTAATAGCGGAGAGGTCCCATAAAACCTCCACCCGGTTCGGTTTTATGTGCGTTAAAGTTAAAAGGATTAATCTGGAAAGTAGGTACTGGTAAAATAGCAATGTATGTACGGGACCAGGAAGTGACGTCACAGCGAATGGTAGACGAGGGTTTAGTCACGTGGGTACGAGTGGGCCAATGGTATTGTAGATGGCGGACATGTTGTGACGTATGTCGGGGCTGGTATCATGTGGGTGTGTGTTAGATAAATAGCATAAAGATGGCGTGCATTTTGTAACATATGTATAAGAGATGGCGCCTCTGGGATGGTTGTATGCTATGAGGACGTAATGCTGTTTGTCTACCTGATCGGCGGTGCGTAGGGGTCGGTTGGTGACGTGAGGGGGGGGGTTGACTTGTTTGCTTGCGGGGGTTTACAATGTATAAGAGGTGGAGGAGGAAAATAACTCTACAAATAGCGTTAATTGTTTATTTCAACATGATGCGTATTTAGATCTAGGAACGAATAAAATTAGAAGAGCATGAAGCAATTTATTCACCTCGAATACACTGCATACAGTGTGGCATTATAGGAGCAGGTCCATCAATATGAATTCGCTGCCACGGTTGGTTCCAATGTTTTTTTTACCAATACAATGAGCATTAAATTGCTTTATTTAAATTTTAGCATAGTTATTTAAATCTGTAAACAAATAAAATTAGAAATTGACTTTAAAGATCAAATTAAGCACTTACGTATGTGACCCAAATCATGTTTGGTAATTGTTGGTCTCGATATACGCCGTAGAGGAGGCCTTTAAAGAAGCCTCCTCCCAACCGGATCGTTTCAGGTACGTCTCCAGCGCACTCGACAATAACCACATCATCCTACGAGCAATTTTTTTTACTAAATAAGATATTTAAAAAAAAAAAAAAATAGATGTAAATGGCTTACATTAGGATATTTTCCTTGAAAATGATTGAGTAATTCTCGCTCTAAACGTTAAAGTTATTTAAAAATACATAGTTCATAATAATATATTGATCACCTGCTGGAGACTGCCTTCTGTCTCCACATGACATTTTCTTTAAAAAAGCAACTTGTTCTGCAAGAAGGGCGTTTTCAAATAAAAATGTATTAGGAGTTTGGTACTTACCACTCATTGTAAAAGCAAGGTGATTAATGTTATTTTTTCCGTTGCTATGAAAAACAAGACTATTATCAATACCGAGGTTTGTGGTTTGGC